ATCTTCAGAGGCTAAAACGATTTCAACTCTTATCCAATGAATTACAAAAATAAATGTGAAGTGTAGAGCATATACCTAAGAAGGGTATGACAAACGTTTTAAATTAAACATGCATTGTATAATCGAGCACAAGTCTAAATATATGCATACATTTAAGAAACGTCCAAGAAGTGTCGGGTAAGAGTATGGGTACGGCACGTATTGGGCACAGCTATGGGTAAGAGTATGGGTACGACACGTGATGGGCACAGCTATGGCTACATATTAGAAGTACCCAGGTACATAAGTTAGGCTCCTAATATTGAAGCTTCGTATTATAATTATGTTCTATGTGAGTTCAACTCATTCATTTTGTTAGTTGTTGATTTATAAGCAGTAAACTTTTGGATTATATGACTTCTATTTTGACTGTTTAAGATAATATGATTGCATTTTCAAGTTTTGGTTGATAGAATGGAAATCAAATTCTATCTTACATGGGTACAGGCTCAGATAGGTAAATTTGTAAGAGGTAGGATGCAGGAGCAAGACTATAAATATTGTAATTAATAATTTATTTGAGATGGGGTTTTTTTTACATGTTACAAAAACTAAAATTCATATAACCTTTAGTTACACTTAATTTGTAGAATTGGAAAATCGTGTATTTCTTTAACTAGATGTCTAAATGAAATTTTAAGATTATACTTATGATCCGGATATGGACTGAACGAATGACCCCGATCAAGACGTAAAATATACGTCAAAAAATATATGACAAGTAGAGTACACGTCTAAATAAATGTATGCATATTCAATGAGTATCTAAGAAATGTTGGAATTAGACACATGTCATGACACGATCGGATATGGTAGCTTAGACAAAGTATCAGGGTGACCTAGCGCTCCAAATATGTAACAACATACATAAGACACATACGCTCTCTACGTATATACACAAACATAGAAATGTTAATATAAATGAATAATGGATGATTTTTATGGAAAGATATCATTTATATGGTTGGATTCCATAAATAAAAATTAAAATGTGTTTAATTAGTAGTATGTGAGATTTAGTCCCACGTTGACTAATTGAATGCATTTTAGTTGATTCAAATTAACATGCGTGTTATATATGGTATAACAAAAGTGTTAGGATTGTTCACTTGTGTTAGTATATAAGCGAGCGTGCGGGCACGTGCGTGCAGGTATGTAGTTATTGCAGACGACATTTTAAAACACAAGAAAACAAAAATGAATTCTCCTCGTCTTTTTTTACAATTATATAAGCTGTTAGTACTGAAGATTCTGGCGAACTGAAGTTGTAATCAAGATATTCAATAGAAGAACGCTTCTTTGGACTATAATTGTCTCATCCTCAGAAGTATTGTGCAGACTCAACGCTACTGTAGGTGGGGCATAACTTTTTCAAGGACAGTCCTCTGTTTAGAGGGCGATTTGGTATTTCTGTAAAGTATCTCGAACTTTAAGTTAAGCTATAATGGTGTTTTTAACTCGCTACTTTTTTCTTTCATTCATGTGTGGTTTGTTCTTCTTATTTTTGGATCTGTTTTTATTCTTATTTTTCCCAACAATCTTGACGAAATTAATATCATTTGGAGTTATGTCTTCTATTTCAAGAGTTGGTTATGATGCCTTTGCCCCTAAATGGACATGTTTGGAATGCTAAAAGAGTTCATTGGTTAGTTCTTCAAACGTTGGCAGCAACGTATAAAGATTTAGCTGATGACTAAGAGGCTATTGGCAATGATACTAATAGATTGTCCAAAATCAGATGAAAAATATCCTAATAGTGTAGATAAAATTGCGCAGTGGACGGAGAAGGACCAAATAGTTAGAGGGTGCATTTTGTTGGCAATGTCTAATGTGCTCTTCGATATCTATTGTTCTTCTTCAACCACTGCAAAGACACTGTGGGATAAACTGGACAGAAAATATAATACTGAAGACTTCGGTCTTGAAAAATATTCTATGTCCAAGTTCTTAAAGTTTTAAATGGTCGAGGGTAAATCTGTAACAAAACAAGCATATGAACTTATGCTCATTCTTCATGTTCTTTGAGAAGCAGAAATGGAGATTCCTAAAAAATTTCAGGTTATGGCAATCATCGAAAAAAAATCATTCTTGAGAGAATTTTGGTATGGCTCTCAAGCATCGAAAGGAAAAAATAAATCTCGATGACTTGATGATTGCCATAACTATTGAGGAAGAGCATAAGAATCGGAAACATGTTGTGCTTGTTGAGCACCAACCTAAAAAAATGTTATAACTTCTGGGGAAAAGTTCAAAAGCAAACCTAACAGCAAACCTGATGACAAAATCAAAGCTAAATTTATTCAAAAAAAAATCAAAAGCAAACAAACCATGTTAGAATTGTGGACAGATTGGACATAGGGCTAAAACTTGTCCTACAAAGAAAGTTAAAGCAAATACAGGGTCTACTAGTGTGCATCAGGTTAATATGATTATGACTGAGCTTGCTGGATCCATCGAAGGATATGTTTCCATTAACCCCGAGTTACTATCTATTTATGAACCCAATGAATGGTTGGTAGACACCGGTGCAAATGTACACATTTGTGTTGATAAATTGTTGTTTATGTTTTATCACTTGCAAATGGTAATACCATGAAAATAGGGAACCAAACTGCATCTAAAGTGTTGGGATATGGACGAGTAAACATGAAGTTTCCTTCAGGGCGAATTCTATCATTACACAGGGTGCATCACGCTCCTACTGTTTGACGCAACATTATCAACGGTTCGTGAGTTTTTTTTTAATGTAATAAAGTGGTTATGTTGCATTTTGGATCTTTTAAGGGCTATGATTCTGATGGAATGTATAAGGTTAGAGCAAAACCTATTTTTAGTTCTGAATTTAATAAGATTTTTGTTCCTAATTATCCTATTAGTAACAATCTTGAATCATCTGCTATTTGGCATAAACGTCTTAGTCATGTTAATTTTAATTCTGTCAAAAGAATAATGAATCTTAATATAATTCCAAAACACTCTTAGGTAAAAATGTTAAGTATGTGTAATAAAAACAAAAAAAGGAAACATTTTCATTCTGTTGATAGAAATTCTGAGTTATTTGATTCAGTACATACTGACGTTTATGAGTTTAATGATGTCTTGACCAAAAACATGAAGAAATATTCTATCACTTTTATAGATGACTATAGCAAATAATGTTATGTTTACTTGCTTAAAACTAAAGATGAGGCTAAAGAAAAATTTATCATTTTTAAGAATGAAGCTGAAACTCAAACTGGCAGGAAACTTAAAGGTTAAAATCTGATAGAGGATGAGAATATACATCAAATCAGTTTACTTTTCTATGTCAATCCTTTGGCATAGTGCATGAGGAAATTGCTTCTTATTCTCCTAGGTCTAATGGTGTAGCAGAACGAAAAAATAGAACCTTGAAAGATATGATTAATAGTCTACTTGAAAGCTATGGACTTCCTAAATATATGTGGGGAGAGGCTTTGAATACGACTAGCCATATTCTGAATAAATCCCCTCAAAAACTTAAGGACAGTAGTCCATTTGAACTTTGGAGAAATCGAAAAACAAGCTTGAAATACATTAAAGTGTGAGGCTTCCTAGAACACAAAAGGAAGAAGGTAGGTCATAAGACAGTCGACTCGATTTTTTTTAGATTATGTAGAAAACAACTATGCTCTGAGATTCTTAGTGATTAAATCTGAAATCTCTAGCATAGATGTTAATACAATTGTTGAATTTCGTGATGCAATAATTTTTTAGGATGTTTTCCCTATAAAAACTGGAATGTCTCAAAATATTTCTAATGAAAACCATGTATCTGTCACAACTTTCATCCCTGATCATGTGGAAAGGATGACAAATGTAGGGGCAGATAATTCCAAATATGAATCTGAAAGATCATACAATTTGGATGAACCTAGAATGAGTAAGAGAGCAAGGATTATCAAGGATTTTTAAAGTGACTATGTCACTTACAATATCGAGGAGGATCCTATTTTCTACATATCTGTTATGACCTCAAAAAAGGTTAAACAATGGAGGGATGATGTCAAAAGTGAAATGAATTATATTATCTCTAATGGGACATGGGAATTAGTTGATCTTCATCCTGGGTGCAAGACAATTTGGTCTAAATGGATTTTAAAAGGAAAATAAAATTAGATGGAACCGTAGAAAAGTTTAAGGGTAGACTTGTTGCCAAGGGGTTCAAATAAGTTGAAGGAATTGATTTCTTTAACACATAATCTCCAATTGCCCGAACGACTATGATCAGAATGCTTATTGCATTGGTTTCTATATATGATTTCACAATCCACCAGATGGATGTGAAAACTGTTTTTCTTCATGGTTTCCTTGAAGAAGAGATTTATATGGATCAGACTCAGGGATTTGTAACACCTAGCAATAAAAAGAAAACATGTAAACTTGTGAAGTCTCTATACGGACTTAAACAAACCCCTAAACAATGGCATAAAAATTTTGATACGAGTATCATTGATTTTGGTTTCAAAATGATTGAGTCTGAT